CATACCTCTCACTGTATTTCCCACTTCTATACTTCCCTTCACCTATGCCTCTCCTTCCTCTTTACTCCCCCCCAAAAAAAAAGAAAAAGTGGTAGCTGGTGAGGTGCCTCCTAAACGTAAAACATTTTAATAAAACTACCCAAACCATCCTAATAAAATGATAAAACCTAAAAAATTTGATCTCATCCCTTCACATTTTTGATTCGTGTGAGTCCATATATTAGACTTATTTAACACCACACAGTAACGTGTACCAAACTGGTACTGGTTGAGGTTGTGTAACACCTGACTCCTGCCCGAGCCTCCCTCGCTCCCACCACAATCTACTCGCTAATGGTCCAGGACGGAGCGAAACCTCGTCGTCTCCTCGTCTTGTGGTGTGTGTGGTCATCATATCTCAGGCCGTGTTGTTTGTGTCTCATCGTCTGCACGCACAATGAATACACGACTTGCACAAACACAATCAATACATAGCACAAATACTTTATTCATGCAAATACAATTACAAGATATGCACGATTAATACTCATCTGGCGTAATTAATACCCATTGTTTACAGTTAGTACACAATTCGCACAATACAATCACCGCATTATTGGCACAAATACACAATTTCCACATATACAATTACAAAACATTCACAATTAATACACAACTTTCACAGTTAATACACATATTGCACAATTATTTCACAACTTGCACCAATACAATCAATAAACAACTTGCACAAACACACAATTCGCAGAGATAATACATAACAACATGCACAATTAATATACAACTTGCACAAATGCGAACACACAAAACTTGCAAAATTCAATCAGTAACACAATTTTACAGTCATTTTCTAGGAATTTGTACATCATCAATTATAATATGCTAAGTTTAACTAAAAATCCCCCCCCCCCCGCCCACTAAATGACATACAATTTCGCAGATATGTATCCTATATCTGACTACGCTTATTCAAAGCTCATAATCCTCATAAACACACGCATATTTCAATATATATTTTTACAAAATAATTTATGCTTAACTGTTCTGTCACCAGTATTTACCAATTTATTATATCCATAGTTTGAATATATTAAAAACATACCACCTAGTGACATCCTCTCGAATTATGTCACCCATATTTTGACACTTTATTGTCTATTTAGATTTATTTAGACAAATAGCTGAAACCTTTGTTATGTCAGGTTATGACGGGTTCGGTTCGGTTAAGACATGTAGGGTTAGGTTACGGCAGGTTGGGTTAAGTATAAGAGGTTGGGTTATGTTAAGTCAGCAAATCTATCCAAATTTAAGCAAATTGCTATATCATACAAAAATTTATCCTGTCAAATCCTATATAAACCAATAGCGATCAACCCATTTCTATAATATCCTATCCCAACCTAAGGTGTCCATCTCATCATAACATCTATTTGTAGTTGAATTTAAATAAATTTGACTGACCTATCTAAACTTAGCAAAATTGATCCCAGTTTGAGTCAATTCCTCGAAATTTACCCAAATTCTAACAAAACAAAGTTGAATTTGACTAACTGTAACTAATCATACCACAACCAAAGCTACATTTAACTGTTAGAGCTGTTAACATCTATTACCAACATTCAGTCTTTGCATAACACGGCCAGTTCTCAATACCATTTCACTCTACAAGTGCTGTGTCCGTCTACCTGTTCCCAGTATCCTGATGGGCTTTTTTTGGCATCAATCGAACCAAACCCAACCAAACCTAACCCAACCCAACCCAACCTCACCCCACCTAACCTAACCAAACCTAGCCTAACCTAACCTAACCCAACCCAATCAAACCCATCCAAAGCTAAATTTAACTAAATCTAAGTCACTTTCACTAAATTTACCATAATTATATAAAACCAAAGCCGATGGTTAGCAAATTCTGCTAAATGTATCTAAGCACATCTTAACCTGAGCTGAGGTTAGCACTTAGAGCTGCTAATGTCTACTGCCAACTTCCATTCCACTCTGGGTTACAACTGATTTTTGCGAATATATTCTAAGCAGTGTGTTGTTTTCTTGGAGGTGTTGTAGTTTCTGTTCTTGGTTCGGGATTGTACCATCGGTCCAGGTGCCGTCTTATTGTCGTGTTTATTTCTGTGTTGCTATATCCATTCTTCACCAACATCTGAGTTATTCTTTCAAACTCCCTCCTCACGTTGCTCCATTCAGAGCAATGGGTAGGAGCTCGACTAATATAAGTGTTGAGAACACTGGCATTGTATCTTTGGGGGCACTCACTCCTACCGTGAGTGAGTGCCATAGGAATGCAACATGATACTGGACAGAGTATACAGAGACGAGAGCACCCCCAAATTAGACATACTTGAGCCACACTTGAAGAGCCTTCTCGAGGCATGTACAAAGGAAGCTCCTTTCATCAGTCCACAAGGAGACATGAACTGAACTGAACTGAATAATACAGGAGAAGATGCCCATTGGGGCGAGCCTTGAAGTGGGGACAGCTGAAGAGTAGTCGGTGAGAGGAAATGCTGAAGTTGAAGAAAAAGTGCCAGGGCTAAACCCAGCTGCGTGGCAATACGTCGATGCTGCAAACAACCCAACAACTGGCTAGGCTTGGAGGCGGGTCTGGAAGGCGGCGGTGGCAGTGCTTCAGCATTCAAGGTGGAAACAATCAGTCTTCATGTGGTGTCTTCTTCTTCTTCAATTTGGTGTTTCTTCTTTCTTCTTGCTTCGAGTAATCATTTGATGTTTGTAATCGGCGTAGTCTGGTGGGAAAAGGTCCTTTGACAATGTGGTTTCGTCGCATTCAACGAAGATTACTTCGTTCCTTAGTATGTACTTGGAGTTTGGATCATTCAGCAGGCATTCCGCATACCTTGTGTTGAGTATTTTGCTGGAGAGGCGTCTGTATTCGGGAGTTCCAAGTGTAAGTTGTTCACGTTGATCATATAGTGCAGAGACTCTTGGAGACTCCTGTGTTGCTGGAGATGGTGATTGTGCTTCAACGTCAATCGAGGCAGTAGAGTCATCATCGGAAAACAAGTGTTGGTTTTCAGAAGCATCAGGTGTAGGTACCTGTGAAGCTGATGTAGTCTCGGGTGCGGCTGGTGTATTTTCTGGTGAAGCTGGTGAAGTTGGTGCAGTCTCAGGTACCACTGGAGAAGTAGATGGTTTGTCTGGAGTAGTAGCAGTGTGCAAGGATGTTGCAGAGTCTGTAGCAGGTTGCACAGGGTGGGCGTCAGCAGACAGGATATCTGCCAATGCAGTTGAAGAGATGGCGATGTTGATGTTAGAAGCAGAAGTGGTATTTGTTGCTGAAGTCGTAGTATTGGTGTTGGCTGAGGCTGTTGTTGTGAAGAGCTCGTCACGAACAGTAAATGTTGGTAAACCGTTGTCAGCAGAAAGAGGATAGACACGAGGCACTGAACTACAGGCCAGTGTCCCTAACCAGCATACCATGCAAGCTGATAAAATAAACTTTGTAACAGAAAAGAACATGGATTTAGAAGGAAAAGTCATGCCAGAGAAACTTGACCGAGTTACACACAGAAATCACAATATTGTGGATTTGTTCATTTGATGCATCACAAGGGCCGTGACGAGGGTTCGAACGTACCTCCGAGAGGATCCCAGAAGCTGCCTTAATCGACTGAGCTACGACATGGTTAAAGGAAGCTCACATGTTTGTATGAGAGTTCGAACTGGTGACCGCGTGAACACCGGGTCCGACCTCTCAGTCTGACCAAGACGTTTCCTAATATAGTAATAATTATAATGAGAAAATCCAGTAGGACGTTGAGGTGGGCGCGAACTTACGACCGTAACAATACCAGTCGCATACTCTACCACTAGACCAGTAGGACTTGAATTTTGGATGGGACGGGAGAATGGAATGGTGCCGAACCACTTGGACGGTTTGGGATTGAACCCCGACCTGTATGAAGCGAGACTGTCACTCTACCGTCCAGCCCAATATGTATTTACAAACAGACGTTTGTATTGGACGTGGAGACATGTATTTACAAATAGACGGAGTAGCAATGGGCTCCCCCTTAGGAGTATTATTCGTTAATTTTTACATGGGAACCACCGAAGATAGAGTCTTCAGTAGTTGACAAAAACCAATGGTATATTGTCGTTATGTAGATGAAAAATTCGTCACAGTAAAAGACTCAGATGAACTAATTAATCTAACAAGCCATCTAGAGAGAGAGTCAGTACTCCGTTTTACCCATGAAAATAGTGGGTGTAGTGGTGGTGGTGGTAGTGGTGCTGTGTTGTGGTAGCTGTGGTGGTGGTGATGCTGGTGCTGGTGTGATGGTAGTTATGGTGCTGGCATGGTGGTGGGTGTAGTGGTGGTGGTGGTGGTAGTTGTGGTTGTGATGGTAGTTGTGAGTGCTGACTATAGAGCGTGAGAGTTGTGAGTATAATGCTCACTACAAGTAACAATATAAGCTACACATGTAATATGTTCACCAAACAAGAGTCACAAAACATAAAGAGACCAACACATGTCACAGACCAAATATCACCCCTCGATCCCTCACTGTAAAGCTCTCAACATATTTCCTCTACGAACATCGGTAATTAAATTAATTAAGAATAACTACCAAGCACATCTCTCCTTTGCAACGAGAGTTTTTCACGTATTTTATAATTAAAATTAATTTCAATGCGCAATTAAATATTTCTCTAAATTTTTAGAATGATTAAAAAATCTGTTTTTGAAACCCACACAAGAGATTGAGGGAATACACAACTACAAAGGCATTAGGCCGCTGATGAGGTCAATTAATTATTAAAACATAAAAATATAAAAAATATTTGTGTGCAGCAACTAGACTCATTAACTGACACAATAAACAGCTTTTACCTCTTTAACTAACGCAGCAAAATATACCAATTTGACCTGTAATTAATACCTTATCTAGTCACAGTCTTCTCGCCTTGTTACGTTACCTATAGTAACCTTATTAATAATTCTGAATAATACAGGTACAGAACCACTGATGAGTAATGCAGGTACAGAACCACTGATGAGTAATGCAGGTACAGAACCACTGATGAGTAATGCAGGTACAGAACCACTGATGAGTAATGCAGGTACAGAACCACTGATGAGTAATGCAGGTACAGAACCATTGATGAGTAATGCAGGTACAGAACCACTGATGAATAATGCAGGTACAGAACCACTGAAGAATAATGCAGGTACAGAACCACTGAAGAATAATGCAGGTACAGAACCACTGATGAATAATGCAGGTACAGAACCACTGATGAATAATGCAGGTACAGAACCACTGATGAATAATGCAGGTACAGAACCACTGATGAGTAATGCAGGTACAGAACCACTGATAAATAATACAGGTACAGAACCACTGATGAGTAATGTAGGTACAGAACCATTGATGAGTAATGCAGGTACAGAACCACTGATGAATAATACAGGAACAGAACCATTGATGAATAATGCAGGTACAGAACCACTGATGAGTAATGCAGGTACAGAACCACTGATGAATAATGCAGGTACAGAACCACTGATGAATAATGCAGGTACAGAACCACTGATGAATAATACAGGTACAGAACCACTGATGAATAATACAGGTACAGAACCATAGAATAAAATAAACATAGTGCAGAATAAGGTTTATTGAAGAATCTTAAGAATATTTGGTGCAGTTAGTCAGTATGATTGTATTCTTACTTTTATCTTACTGTATTCTGCAATACAATATTGTTAAGCTTGCCAGATGTATATAATACATTTCGTGTCAATACTCACGTGGTGACGATGGTAATTCTCTGGTAGTAGTCAAGACAGTAAAATCCAGCCCATCAACCGTGAAGAGCTCAGTCCCCCAGGGTACTGTGCTTGCTCCAGTACTTTTTCTCATCCTCATATCGGACATAGACAAGAACACAACCTATAGCACTGTATCATCCTTTGCAGATGACACTAGGACCTTCATGAGAGTAGGCAACATAGAGGACACGGCAAACCTCCAATCAAATGTAGATCAGATCTTTCTATGGGCTACAGAAAATAATATGGTGTTTAACGAAGATAAGTTCCAGCTCATGCGCTACGGAATAAATGAAAATATAAAAACGGAAACCACGTACAAAACTCAGGCAAATCATAACGCAGAACGGGAAGGCAAAGTAAAGGACCTGGGTGTAGTCACACTAATCACTTTATATGGTTTTGTATCATACGGCATATCTAACTTTCCCTCTTTTTTTCTTTTTAACGAGAACAGTGTCACCAACCTTTATGAACTGTTCCTTTGCACGTTGATCATGAGCAATTTTCATTTTGCCCTTGGCTAGTGCATCCTTCTGAGCGAGACGTTTATCCGTTACCTCGGCTGGCATGACGGGTAGTGCAATTCTCATAGGACGTCCAAATAAAAGTTCACCAGGTGACTTGCCCAGTGTTCCATGCGGTGTTGCACGGTAGTTCCTGAGAAAAGCATACATAGCTTGTTTCCAGGATCGTCCTTCGGCATGAGCACAGCGTACCGCTTTCATGAGAGGTTGCATGAATCTCTCAACTTCTCCATTTGCTTGGGGATGTAGTGGCATCACACGGCGGTGTTTGAATCCAATATGCTCAGCAAAGTTGACAAAGTCTTGTCCATTGAATGGCGGTCCATTGTCCGTCTTGACAACTTCAGGAATGCCAAAGTTTGAAAAGATCTTGTCGAGTTTCGGGATGACAGCCTTTACAGATGTGGAAGTGATGATTTCTACTTCTGGATAACGTGAGTGATCATCAATGACTACCATCAAGTACTCTCCAGTTGGTAGTGGTCCGCAGAAGTCCATCGATACTTCCGTCCATGGTGCAGCAGGTAGTGGTGAAGGTTGTAGAGGTGTTGGTCTTGAAGTATCCACTGCAGCTTGGCAAGGGACACAGGCATCATGCATATCCTTTGCTTGACGATCAATGCCAGGAAACCACACATTTTCTCGTAGCAGCTGTTTGGTCCTAACAAGACCTTGGTGTCCTTGATGTGCAAGCTTCAGAGCACGTTGCTGGAGAACAGCTGGAATAACGATACGAGTACCTCGCAGCACAGTGTCGCGTTGTTGCGTAACACTTAATTCTGTCTGGATGCGTTCAAGTGCTTTGAATGCATCTTGGTCAACTCCTGAGGGTGGGATGCGTGGAAACTTTTTCTTAGTCAATGCATCCACTGTTGCTTGCAGAGTTGGGTCCTCTAGGGTTGCAGTACGGATTTCATCAAGAGTGAGAGCCTTAGGGACTGCATCACAGGTTACAGAGTGTACATATTCCTCGGCAACTTGCTGATGCTTGGTGATGGTGAAACTGTTGGCAGGATGTCGACTGATGTAATCAGCAGGATTGCCTGCACCCGGCTTGTATTTCACCGTAAAGTTGTATGGTTGCAGACGAAGAGCCCATCTCTCAATGCGAGCTGGTGGTTTGGACTTTGGATTATTGAAGATGGTCTCCAACGGTTTGTGGTCAGTGACTATCGTGGTGAAGGGTGCACCAAGCAGATACACATTGAAGTGTTCACAGCCCCATACAAGAGCAAGAGCTTCCTTCTCTGTCTGACTGTATCGTTGCTCAACATCTGTGAGAGAACGGCTGGCGTAGGCAATTACTACTCTGGAATCTGGTTGACCAGGTTTGTGTTGGGCTAAAACAGCACCTAAACCAACAGGACTAGCATCCACCGTTAATTCAGTGTCCATTGATGGATCAAAGTATGCAGCAGTCGCATTCTCTACTAGTGCATCTTTCACAGCATCAAATGCATTTTGCTCGATATCGCTCCAGTACCATGATGCATTTTTCTTCAGGAGCTCACGTAGAGGCTTCGTAATGGTAGCAAAATCTGGAATGAAGCGAGAACAGTAGTTTGCCATTCCCAGAAAACTATGTACTTCAGTGGACGTTGAAGGAGGTGCAGCATTCTTGATATCTGCAACTTTCTTAGGATCTGGAGACAGACCTTTGTCACTAAGTACATGTCCAAAGAATTCAATTTTATGTTGATTGAACTCACACTTTGCTCGGTTTAGCGTCAAATTCTTTTCTCGTAAGCGTTGCAATGTTGCACGAAGAGCTTTGTCGTGTTCAGCTTGGGTACGGCCATAAACAATGACGTCATCAGACATGTTGTCAGCATTAGGTATATCTTGTAATACCTGGCTGATGGTGTGCTGGAATACCTCGGCAGCACTGTTAATACCAAAACTCAGGCGCTTGTACCTATACAGACCTCGATGTGTCGTAAACGTTGTGATGAAGCGACTCTCCTCATCAAGTTCAAGCTGATGATAGCCCTTGTTTAAATCTAACTTGCTAAATACAGTTGCACCATTCAAGCGGTAGATCATATCATCTACAGTCGGTGTAGGATGGCGTTCACGCATTATTGCCTTGTTGGGAACACGCATGTCCACACAAATGCGTATCTCATCTGGATTCTTCGGCTTTGGTGGAGTGACAATTGGGCTTACCCATGGTGTTGGGCCTGTTACTGGTTCAATGATATCTAGTTCTATCAGCCTATCCAGTTCAGCATCGACTTTCTTGCGAGTATGGAATGGTTGTCGGCGATGTGGTTGGGCAACTGGAATTACATCTGAGTTGATATGCAGATGTACTTTGCTATCAGTATAACAACCTATGGATTTAAATCGATCAGAAAATTCAGCAACAATACCATCAACATTGTTTGCAGATTCCACTGCTACAGCATTATAAAGCTGAAGTAGCACCAATTTGGTTGAAGTCTTGTAACTGAGTAAAGACTCCTTTGCATTCCTAACAACATGGAATGTAGTAATGAGCATTGCATTCTTTGACTTAATCTCTGCAGTGAAAGTTCCAATCACTGGCAAGGCTACCTTTGAAGCATAGGCAGTGGCTTTGCCATTATAGTTCTCAAGCTTTGGGAACTGTTTTTTAAATTTCTCATAGTGGCACTCAGCAATGGTGTCAATGTTTGATCCAGTGTCAATGAGAACTTTGAGACAAATACCAGCAATGTATACACATGTCTCTGGGTTGTTTGGAAGATCATTCCATTCTGTGATTGCTTGTACTCCATAAGTATAATCACATTCACTGTCATCTGAGACTGGTTGTAATGAAATGTTGTCTTGTATATTATTAACATTCTGGATATGAGGTGCAATATTGTGTTTACCACCTCGACCCCTATGACCTGATCCTCGCACAGTGCTTTTATTCATTGACTGTGGTTTCTTTATTGCAGAACGACACATAGCACCAAAATGACCTAGTTTTCCACACTCATAGCACTTCTTACCTTGAGCAGGACAAACATTATCTTGGTGTGGGTAGTCTCCTCCACAATTGTAACATTTATTGTTGACACCCTCTGATGTGGGTCGTTGTGACTGCTTGAGCCTTGTTCCTTGACCCCAGTTGTGACGTGGTTCTCGGCTAAATTTACTGTTAGGTTTGCCATGATATCTTCTTTGATCACGGTGTCCTCCCTGAACCTTACGTACCTCATCACTGTTAATAACAGTGGCAGAACCGTTATTAGCACTGCACTCCATGACACGAGCATCACGTGCAGCATCTTCCATTCGACGAGCAATATCCAGTATCTTGGTAAGAGAACTTTCATCATCAACAAGTTCTAGAGCTCTTCGACGGAGACGTGTAGATGTGCATGATTCAATTATTTGCTGTTTGATTTCTTTGTCAACATCAGCAAACTCACAATGGGCTGCTAAACCCTGCAGACGTGTGTGGTATTGATCCACAGTTTCATTAGAGAGTTGTTTTGCTCTCCTGAAATGCATAATTTCCATAGCAGTATTTTGCCTTGGTTTGAAATGCTCTGTTAGTTTGGCTTTGGCAGTGCCATAATCTTTGGCACCACCAGTGTCTTTCAGTGTGTCAAAGATGTCACAAACTCTATCACCTGCATAATGAAGTAGAAAGGCACGCTTTCTTTCAGCACTTTTGATGTCAGAAACTATCAACAAATTTTCAAACTTTTTAAGCCATTTGACCCACCTCTGTGACAGGTTTGTCTGGTCACAGTCAGGATCAAATGCAGGAAACTGAGGTATATTTGCCATTTTTACTGAATAAATGTAACTTATCACTTAAATGTTCCTCAGAATATTAAACACTTACTGCACTGTATATGTTAGTCAAGAATTCACTGTAATTACTTTAATTTTGCAAAGCACACAAGCATTTTAATGCAAAAGTTCACAACAGTGCACAATATAGCAGCAACTGACTTCTTACCTAGCCCTTGTGTACATGTGTTGTTCCTACTCACAGCAGCAGCACAGCAGTTGGCACAGCAGCAGTTGGTACAGCAGCAGTTGGTACAGCAGTAGTTGGCACAGCAGTTGGTGCAGCAGTTGGTGCAGCAGTTGGTACAGCAGTCGGTACAGCAGTCAGTTCAGTGTGATGAATTTTGTAGCACGAAGCGTCGTTTCGTAACCAAAACATCAGGTTTTGTACACATCAAAGCGTCGTTTCGTACACAACGTCGGCAGATTCCTCAGTACACAGTTTCTTCAGCGCAGCTTGGGTAGCACACAGCTTGAGTAGCACACAGCATCGGTTAGCACACAGCATCGTTTA